GCACCAGGTCATTTCAATATAGAGGGAAATATTCTTAGCATAATGAAAACTGAACTACACAGGGATGAGCCATGGATAATGGGATGCAAATTGTTGGATAGGTAATAAGGGAATGTCTCAATAATCAAAACATTTCTTTCTTGATTTTTTTTCTTTCTTTTCTGGTTACTAAAACTTAATTAGCCTTATAGCCCATCTGGCAATTTACATGCAATTATCCACTGTACTTTGTATGGCTACTAAGATACTCGAAGCAACATTCAACAAGGCTATAATCAGAATTAATTCTTGCATCCATCCTACTTACAAAAGTAGTCCCCTAGGAAGCGCTCTGCTGAACTAGTCTATCAAGATCAAGTAAATAACAATGACTTCCATACTCTAAGCTATTAGAGAAGTAGGAGTAACACTAATAAATACACTCATATGTCTACCAGCACTGTTAAAGTTTACTGCTCATTCAGAATTAGAAAACAAACACATGTAAGTAAACGTGTCTGCCTTAACAAACGTGACCAAACAATCCAGCTGAAGTTTCCATTGTCACAGAAGAGGAGAGAAGTTAGAAGTTAGCTGACTTTTTAAAAAACAGCATCAATCCAGCCCAACAAGGAAAAGAAAGCTAACTGTAGAGGTTGATTTAGCTTCCCTGCCTCCTGCCCCTGAAAAGTCAGAAACTAGATTTCCTAAGTGCTTAGCCTCTGAAAAAGAAATGCACTGTGACTGGAACTCTAAGTCACAACCCAACTTCACTGGCTATGAGACAATAAATAAGATAGGTACTATGTCTTATCTCAACTTCTACCTTATGGAGTGCTGAGCTCAATTTTCTGCACATGCCAGATAATTAATGTTTGTTAAATAAATGAGTAAGTCAATCTGAGGCCCAGAGAGTCAGAAGGGCTGGTTACACCTAAAGAGCAAGGTCAAAGAAAGAGAGCTCACTGATTCTTTAGCAAGGTGGAGTCCTACAGAGTTCAGTGCTGACCTTCCTTGTCCACTTGTATGGAAAGGTATGGGACATTTCTAAGCATTCTTATCCTCTCCAGCTCACTAGAAATTTAGGATTCAACCTTGAGTTTCTCAGCTCTAATAAGTGAGCCTTCTCTTGCTCGGGGTTCAAGTCTCCACACCACCTCTCATACTCTCTTTCTGTTCCCCACTGCTTTCCAGCACCCCTTTGTGGTTCCCCCCCCTTCTCTCCCTCCCTCTCATCTTTCCTTCCCCTTGTCTTTCTTTCATTCTTTTCTTCTCCTCCTTCTATTATTTGTCGATCTATGGAAGGTGGCAGGTCCTATACTTTCATACAGAGGCCACAGCAGCAATGGTTGACCACCTTGGGTTATTTAAAAAAAAATTTTTTTTTGAGTTTCTCTGTAAAGGTCTCATTTCTCCAATATATAGGGAACTGAGCCAAATTGATAAAAATAAGAGCTACTACCCAATTAATAGATGGTCAAAGGATATAAACAGGTAGTTTTCAGAAGAAATCAAAGCTATCAATAATCATATAAAAATGCTCTAAATCATTAATAATTATAGAAATACCAATTACAACAACTCTGAGGTGCTACCTGACACCTATCAGATTGGTTAAGAAAAGGAAAAGGACAGAAAAGGAAAATGACACATGTTGGCGGGGATAATAGTGGAAAAATAAGTAGGCCAATGCTCTGCTGGTCGAATTGTGAACTGGTCCAACCATCCCCAAGAGCAATTTGGAACCATGCCCAAAGTGCTATAAAATGGAATATCCTTTAACCCAGAAACACCATGAGTAGGTTTGTACTCCAAAGATATCAAAGAAAAGAGGAAAGGACCCTATTTGTACAAAAATATTTACAACAGTTCTTTTTGTGGTGGCAAAGAACTAGAAATTGAGGGGATGCCCATTAATTGGGGAATGGCTGAACAAGTTGTGCTGTATGATTGTGATAGAATAAAAATCAACTCTGAAAAGACTCAGCTACTCTGATCAATATAATGATCCATGACTATTCCATAGGACTCATGATAAAAATGTTATCTACCTTCTGACAGAGAAGTGATGAACTCTTGAGTATGGATTGAAGCATTTTTTTCCCACTTTTTTTTGGGGGGGGGGGAGAAAAAAGGGTTATGTTGCAATATGTTTTAAATGACTTCACATGTATAATGGATATCATATAGTTTTTCTTTTCAATAAGTGGGGGACTGGAGGGAGGGAATTTGGAATTCAAAAATGTTTAAAATATGTTAAAAATAAATTTAAAAATTTTTTTGGAAGTTTAAAATAAAGTCCTGGATACTTAGCTTCCAACTCTACCCAGAGCTGACCCTGAAAACAAAAGTTTGATTTCACGTTCTCCCACTTGCCCTAAAAGCAAAATCTTGGGTTAGATCATTTAAACTAAGTGGGTCTTATGGGACCCTCTAGAAGTATTGTGTCAGCTCACTGGAGCAAGCTACTCTGGGGCACAGGAGTGACAGCAGATGCACTCAATCTGGTTTCCAGATTGAAATGTACAAGAATACAATGGTTGTGAAGCCCAACTCTGAGCATTGTCCCCAGCTACCTCATAAGCAGAAGCTGAATAGCTTTGGGCAATGCTATATGACTATGTATATGACTACATTTCTCAAAGATTTCTGGAAGTCTGGTGACCAGCATAGCAGGAAGAAGTGGGAAAAGTTCCAAAAGGCTTTTGGAGACTCACTTCATACCCTTAGCTAATAATAATGTATAAGAAAGAACTTTGAAAAATTATAAAGCAATATATAAACAACAAGGTGGCATTATTAACAGAAGGTTGGTACTATCAGTAATATAGACCTTGTGCTCTATTCATGAATAATTCTAGCACCCAAGAAAAAATATCTGCCATATGATCCCAAGAGTAGCAGCAATTTGGTTGTGGTTACAGAAGGACAGTATCTCAGGAATCTTCCTGGGGTTCCTCTAGTGCAGAAGAACAGGGCATGAATACCCCATGTCCTACTGAATGCAAGGGATTTTGCTCCCATAAAGCTGAAACTGAAGAATCACTTTTTACCTCTTAATTAGCACAGGTAGCTAGAGGGACTAACCCTGAAGCTCATTGTTTCTACTGAAATCTAGTAGAAAGAAAAATGTGAGTCTGGAGACCTAGATTCTAGTCTAAGGAAGGAGGAATAAGAGAATCAGCATGTCTACGCATCCACCTGGCATTGTGTTAAATGCTTTAAAAAATATTATCTCATCTTATTCTCACAATAACCCAGGAGGTAGGTGCTATTATTGTCTCTATTTTGCAGTTGAGAAAACTAAGGAAGACAAAGGTTAAGTGACTTGTCCAGGGTCACACAGCTAGTAGGAAGTGTCTGAGGCTAGATATGAACTCAAGTCTTCCTGACCTGAGATTTGATGCCCTCTCCACTATGCCACTAGGTGCCTCTCAACTTTTACTGGAATTGGGAAGACCTGAGCTCAAATCTGGCCTCAGACACTTACTAGCTGTGTGACATCAGGCAAGTCACTTAACCTCTCTTTGTCTAGGAAGCATCTAGAGGCTCAGTAGATAGAGCACTGGGCCTGGAGTCAGGAAGACCTGAGTTCAAATGTGGTCTCAGACACTCACTAGCTATGTGACTGGGCAAATCACTTCACCTCCAATTGCCTTAATCCACTTGAGAAGGAAATGGCAAACCACTCCAGTATCTCTGCTAAGAAAACCCCAAATGGGATCATGAAGAGTCAAACACAACAAAAATGAATGAACAACAACCTGCTCTAAAGTTAGGGTGAGGTAAAGGGCCACTCTGTCACCTGTGTCTAGAGCCTCCATGCACTTTAATGGTATACTAACTGAACATGCTTTGAGAGAGAGAAGAGGGAGAGAGAGAGAGAGAGAGAGAGAGAGAGAGAGGGAGAGAGAGAGAGAGAGAGAGAGAGAGAGAGAGAGAGAGAGAG